AAAATAAAATGGAAGAAAGACAGCCTCTTCAGTAAGTGCTGGCAAAATTGGTTAACTACTTGTAGAAAACTAAAGCTAGATCCTTATATATCACCTTGCACCAAAATCAACTCCAAATGGATCAAAGTCCTTGGAGTCAAAGCCGACACTCTGAAAACATTTCAGGATGGAATAGGAGAAACCCTAGGTCTCCTTGGCACAGGCCGAAATTTTCTTAATAGAGACCCAGAAACACAAGAAATCAAAGAAAGGTTGGACAAACGGGATTGCATGAAATTGCAGAGCTTCTGCATGGCAAAGGACATAGCTCGCAAGATCAATAGAAAGCCCACAGATTGGGAGAAGATCTTCACTAAGCCATACAACAGACAAGGGTCTCATATCTAAAATATACCTGGAACTTAAAAACTTAAATCCCCCAAAAACAAATCTTCAAAGAAACAACTGCCTAATAAATAAGTGGGCTAAAGACTTAAGAGAAACTTCTCTGAAGAGAAAAGGATGGCCAATAGACACATGAAGAAATGCTCAACCTCTCTAGCCACAAAAGAACTACAAATCAAAACAACATTGAGATACCACCTCACCCCAGTTAGAATGGCTACAATCACGAACTCTAATAACAACAGATGCTGGAGGGGATGCAGACAGAAGGGAACCTTACTGCATTGTTGGTGGGAGTGTAAACTTGTTCAACCACTTTGGAAAGCAGTATGGAGGTTCCTCAAAAGACTCCACATAGAGTTCCCCTGTGACCCGGCAATCCCACTTTTGGGCATTTACCCAAATGATCACAAACAAGACCACACTAAAGCTACCAGCACGACTATGTTTATTGAAGCATTATTTACCATAGCTAACATATGGAACCAACCCAGATGCCCCTCAGTAGATGAATGGATCAAGAAAATGTGGTATATATATACAATGGAATTCTATGCCTCCATCAGAAAGAATGGCATTGCCCCATTTGTTAGGAAATGGAAAGACTTGGAAAAAATTATATTAAGTGAAGTAAGCCAGGCCCAAAGAAACATAGGCCCCACGGTTTACCTTATTTGCAATAACTAGTATATGTCTGAGTCAAGCAGAAAAGGTCAGATAAGTTGATGTTAGCGGAATGAACTCCAAGATAAGTATTCAAATGTTTTTTTGTTTTTTTTTTCTTTCATGCAATTGTTTCTATCATATTTATAAGATGATTTCTATGTTGCTTTGTATGTCCCTCCCCCGCAGTAGAACCCATACTTTCATTGTAGTTGATGTTGGTATAATTTGTGAAGGGGATGGGAAAAAAACAAATCGTTTAACTAGGGATACAGGTGGACCCATTGCAACAATGAGATGTACAAGTAGTTATGTCGAAAAACAAACAACAACTTTGGTGGGGGGGTAGGGAGAGGATCAGGTGGGGGGAGAGGAGGAGTATGGGAAGGGATGAGAAGGGGAAACAATGAGGAGGCAATAATGCTTGATAAGAAATGTACTCGTTATCTTGCCCATGTAATTGTAACTCCTCTCTACGGTATTCTCACAATAAAAAAAAAAGAGAGGGTGCCCAGGCCCTAAGTTCAAGCCCTAGTACCAGCGCACACATGCATGCACACACACACATAGAGGCACACAGAGGCAGAATAGCCCAGGGGTTAAATCAAGAGCTCTGGACCCAGCTGAGGCTGCAGTAGCCTCTCCGCTCAGCTCTGCACCCCTGGCTGGGCTGTGTGATCATTTTCAGTCTCTCCTAGGCCAACACTGGGCAGCAGTAGCTGCTGCCTTATGCACATCTCCTGGGAGCTAAGTGATTTCATACAGCAGAGCTCTTCAGAGAACTCCTAGCCAGGGCTCAAACAGGCTCACAGAGTCATCCCGTGCTCCTCTCTTTCCTTTCTAACAAACCCTCCAGTCCCCTCTGGTTCAGCTGCACCTCCTTGGGTGGCCATGTGCTCCACAGATAGAACCACATTGGGGAAGGAGAGCCAGGGCTGGCCTAGGCTGCTGGCAGGGACCAGGGCCACAGCCAGTGTAGGTCTGTTTGGGGTGCATTCTGGGCTGTGAAACATGGGAGAAGTTTTCCCCTGTTCCTGAAGTCATTATGGAAGAGTAGCCCATTGCAAAAAACTGACTTTGAAGTATCTGCACATGTGCCAGGAATGGGGACGACCTTTTGGTGGCCAGAAGGGGAGAAACATTTGTCTTCTGGTAGCCAGGCTCCCTCCTCTCCTGTCCACGAGGAGGCTCTGTCTGGGCACCAGGAGTGCCCAGCCTGGTGTGGCTAGAGCCGCCACCTGGTGGCAGGTTAAGCTGTCATTAGGAGGGTTTAGCCAGGAAAACCAGCCTCCCTGGTCAGTGGAGGGAGGCCTGCCCTAAGGCTTTGTTCCCTTGACCTTACTCGATGGTGAAACACTCTTGTGGCAGGTTTCGTGGTAAACTCCACTGGTGGCCCGATGCTGTCCACAGCTTGCTGCCCCTTCCCCTGGAGGCCATTCTGAGTGGCTGAGTCTCCCTAGATCCCTCCACCTCCAGTCTATAGGAGCAGAGAACCTGGAGACCAGAGAACCCCTGAACCAGCTCATCTGAGGTACAGCCAGGGGACTGGAGGAACGTGCCGGGTCTTACTTTGTGATGAAATGAAAAGCAGGGGCGCCAAGAGAGTGAGGGTGAGGACCACACAGGCCTTTGGGTGACGGCTAGGTGGAGCACAGTGCAGATTAAACCCTGGGGCTGATGACTGGACAAACCTCCCCATCCCCAGCACAGGGTGGACCCTAGGGGAACAGACAGGGCACAGTCACGCAACGCATATGCACCTTGGAGACCATCCAGCCTGGCTTGCTCCCTGGGTCCGATGGGAAAAGGTGGGGCTCAGAGCCCAGGGACCCATAGGCAACGAGCATGAACGAGGGCCTGAACATGGGAAGGAGGCAGAGTCTGGGAAAGCAGCCATCTGAGAGACCCACTGCATGGTAAGTACTGAAGTACCAGTACTTCAGTCAGTCTGGAGTACTCAGTCAGTCTGGGAGTCTAGCTGAGCTACTACTTATTTGTGGGTTTAAGAAGGCTGGCTCACACGTGCATTAACATAGTCCGACTCCCCAAATTCCAAGGGATACACATGTACTGCTGGCTCCAATAAGCAATACGCAATGCACTTATTTAGCTTCATCACTAAAGCAGAATAACGAGCATCTTTTTCATTCACCAGTCATCACCAGGCTTGGAGACTGGCTCCAGTAATCTAATCCACCCTTCTCAGGCTCCAGCACTAGCCATGACCTTCCACTAAGAGGTGCCAGGGAGCAGCAAAGGGCAGGGCAAGCTTAACGACCTGTTCGTTTCAGCCACTCTATTCCAGGAAGAGGGGGAGAAGGGATTTAGGATGCTACAGGCGAAGAACAGTAGCTCCCAGGATTCAGTGCATCGCTGCCAGCTCTTGCGGCTCACTGTATCCCTGTGGGGTTCTTGGGGCTCAAGAGCTCATTGTATCCCCCTTTCCCCAGGCTCCTCGGGCTCACTGAATCCTGGTAGGGTTCCCAGTGGTCACTACTAGATATTTTCAACCTTAGATCCTCCATATGGATGAGATCCCCACGGACAGATACAGAAACCCAATGACATGGACTTGCCGAAGGCCACCTGGCTGGTAAACTGCACTAGCTGGACAACCCCAAGATAGAGCATTCTCTCTGCCATCGCTCCTCAGCTTTTGGCCCTTATCTTCTTGTCTTCACAGGATGCTGCCCCCAAACTGTGTAATCTTAGCTACTCAGGAAGCTGTGATCTAAAGATTATGGTTTAAAAGCCAGCCTGAGCAGACTCTTATTTCCAATTAACCACCAAAACCCTTGGGCTATGGGTCAAAGCTAGCCTTGAAAAAAAAGTTAGTTAAGGCACAGTGCCCAGGTCTGAGCTCAAGCCCCTGTACCAGCATGCTCACGTGAGCGTGTGTATACGTACACACACACCACACACACACACACACACACACACCTGCAAAGTTCTACCTTGATCCCTAGGAGGAGCACAAAAGGAAAGGTCTTCTCAGTCTTGTTTCAGGTAACCCCAACCACCCCACCCCTGCTATGTCTCTTCTCGCCACACTAACTGTGAGATCTCATGTTATGGTGTAGACCCATGCTGTCACAAGCAGTCGGCTTCCCTCCAGAATAACTAGGGTCGCAAACCAGAGGAAGATGATGACGCCAGGGCCCCTGCTTGCATCAGGTCTTCAGCACGTATGGCTAACAAATTACCAGATTTAAGGAGGAGTTTGGGGCCTTAATGGCACCAGCCAGCAAACTCAAAGCCAACGTTCTGTGGATCTCTAGTTAATTTTGATTTTGAAATGTATGAAAGTCTAAAAAGATTTCAGAAAAGAAAGTAAATTTGTTGCATTCCAAACCAACATATTGTATCAAATAAATTAAGCCATGTAACTGACAGACTCAAATGCATTTTAAAAAAGCATCAGGTTCCAAGTCTTGCATGGCATTACCACCCTCTCCCCACCCTAGCCATGGTGAGGTCTCAGTAATCAGCAAGAATGAGGCCAGGTGCTCTGCTCCTACACACAGTGCAGTAGCTCTCGGGGCAAATTACTCAGTATTAAATGTATATTGCTGCCGGTCTGCCTGGTTAGCTACCCCCTAAACCCCCTCTCCCCACTGATGCTCTTGATCAGCATTTGCTGGGGAAAAGCAGTCACTTTCTCTTTCTAAAGAAAGCCTAGTTTGGTCCAATACAAAAGCAGAGAGGCAGCTTTACTAACAAAGATACAAAGATCCTTACCAAAGCAATTCATATTCTAAGACTTCTACCTATGCCATTCGCTAGAAGATGCCATCCATCTGCCATTGTGAAGGCTTTGGGATAACAGCCATTCCAGGGACTTGTTCTGACATTGGCTTAGCCAGAGAGCTTTAGGTGCCGGCTCAGACAAGGGGCGCATAGTTAGAATCAACCACCTCAGCTGACACCTGCCACTGGCTGGACGCTCGTATTACCTTTTCCCCGATTTGGCTTTCAAGTTCCTTCAGTGTCCGACAGCTATCCATTTCACTTCCATTTCCCCTTAAAAAAAAATCTTTGTTAAAATGTTTTGATCAGTGTTTACACAAAGCTTACAGACTCCTTAACTAGAAAGGATTTTTACATAAACCTTCCCCCCTCCCCGTTTTCTTTGGTGTCAGTTACTGAGGCTTAAACTTAGGGCCTCACACTCTTGCTTGGCTTTTTCCACTGAAGGCTGGAAGTCTACCACATGCATCACAGTTCTACTTCTAGCGTTTATGGTGGTTAATGAGATAAGAGTCTCATGAACTTCCCTGGCAAGGCTGGCTTTGAACCCTGATCCTCATATTTCAGCCTCCTGAGTAGCTAGGATTACAGGCGAGAAGCACCAGCACCTGGCTTAAGAAATCTTTTAGGGCTGGGAAGGTGGCTCAGTGGTAGAGCGCTTGCTTTGCATGTATGAGGCCCTGGGTTCGATTCCTCAGCACCACATAAGCAGAAAAAAAAGCCAGAAGTGGTGCTATGGCTCAAGTGGTAGAGTGCTAGCCTTGAGCTGAAGAGCTGAGGGACAGCGCCCAGGCCCAGAGTTCAGGCCCCACAACTGGACCCAAAAAAAAGAAATCTCTTTTAAAGTCAGCCTGAAGTATGAACATGAGTGAATGGCTTCACCTCTCTCTGCCTGTTTCCTCGCCATGAAATGAAACAAAAGGCCAATGGCTCTCCTCAGTCCCTGGCAGTGAGGTGATTGTAGTGGATGCTCAGTGAGCACCTACTCGGGCCATGTTTCATCTCATTTAATTCAGAGCAGGTCTCTGGGCCTGGGACCACCATCATCCTGACTAATGTGGAGATGTGGATGGGAGAATGAAGGTAACACAGAACAAGTGGAGGTCAGCCCTGGTGCTGACCACCGTGACCCCTGGGCCATTCTGTGGCCATCAGAGAGGAGTGTGCCTGCCATCCCTTCGCTTCGTCTGCCTTTCCCCCGTCAATCTTCTGCATTGTGCACGATCCATGTGTCTCTTTAGAGCTCTCTTTAGAGCACCCCAGTGGAGTTGGGGCACAGGGTAGAGAACAAAGGAAGCAGAACTAGGGCTCCCCCGCTTTTCAGCATTTGACAGTGCTTCCTATACACCAGGTCTGGGTCATGGCAGTGAGCCGAATGCTGTCCCTGCTCATGGCAGAGACCGGTGGGAATAAACTGGACGAGTGTGACAATGGTCAGTAGCAGGACCCGGAACCTGGAACCTAGCAAGCTGCAGTGCGCCAGCCACAGCCTCCCGCACCTGACCAAGTCACCACCTCACAGCCAACCTTGCCCTCTGCCCTTCACAGGTGTTCTTCCTTACCTACACCCTGACACACACCCCTCATCTCTGGGCTTCAGAACCTTAACTGCGACCAGCTGCTCTCAGATACTAACTTGGAGACAGGAACTCTCTAAAGATGAATCTCCAATGGGCAACGGTGGCTCACACCTGTAATCCCAGCTCAAGAGGCTGAGAGCTGAGGATCACAGTTCAAAGTCAGTCTGTGTAGGAAAGTCTGGAAGATTCTTATTTCTAGTTAACCACCAAAAAGGCTAGAAGTGGAGCTGTAGCTTATCTAGCCTTGAGCAAAAAAGCTCAGGGACAACACCCAGGCCCTGAGTTCATGCCCTAGGACCAGCAAGAAAAAAAATGTAAACAGTCTGATACTCTTTTAGCTGAAGAATTTTTAACCCTTTTACATTTAATGTTGTAGATGCTAATGCCCACACAAGAAGTCCTTGTGAGTTCAGTGCCACGTGAAGAAGTGTACATATGCTTTACCTGTTGCCCACAAATTTAATTGTTTTCAGCAGAAACGCTATTCATGGCAAATAGCCTACCACAGGGATGGCTGGAAGGAGAAGGTGTTTGCTATGATGCATTGTCTCCAACAACAGAGAATCCAGCTTCAGAGTACAACGTCTTTCAAATATACCAAAAATATTTAACCTTTTATCTTGAAGAAAGTAGCTTATGATCATTTTCATCTCAAATAACTTATTAGACAGAAGTTTCTCAATAAGAATTTTTTCAGTCTCTTCTTGAAGGACACCAGCAGCTCTCACTTAGGATCCTAGCCACTTGGGAGGTAGAGGTTAGGAGAGATCCTGGTTGAAGGCCAGTCAAGGCAAAAAAAAGTTAGTGAGACCCCACTTAAATCAATAAGCTGGCACGTTGGTACACACCTATAATCCCAGCTATTTATATGCGACTATAAATAGGAGGATCATGGTTTGGTGCCTGTTCCTGTCAAAAAGGTAAAACTCTGCCTGAAACATAAACTTAAAAAAAGAGTGGAGAGGGGCGGGCAGAGTGTATGGCTCAAATGGTACAGTGACTGCCATCTGAGTGCAAAGCTCTGCATTCAAACCCCAGCACTGCCCCACAAGGCCCCATCTTTTTGGCTTTTGCAACCAAGTGTGTGTGAACTAGTTATGGTCTACACAACAATCATCACACCAACAGGGATGGGTCTGGGTCAAGAGGAGGAATACAGAGTCAAAATAACACTAAACAGGCCACAGAGAAGTCCAGGTCATGGAGGGGCCTTAGTCTATTTCCTATGGCTGTAACATAGGGCATGGGTCTGGAAATGTGATCAACTCCCCACTTCTCTTGTACTAAGCAAGACTGAGGATTCAGTCAAGAACACTGGGCAATACTAAAAGCTGCTTGATGGGGGAATGAGTTTCTTTTCTGTAGCAGTATACTCAGCTCCTGGGGAAAATGGGCTTAGTCCCTTAGAGTCCAATCATTAGCGAAGTTGTTCTATTAAACTAGTTGTTTCCTAGACTGTGCACAAACCACATGCTAGGAGCTAGGAACTTCCCAGATGACAGAGACATCTAATGCCATGCTCCGGCCTCTCGCTCTGAAGATGAAGCAAATGAGCATTATGTTTATGCTGGGACTATGAGAGGCCAAAAGTGCTCAGACAAGATGTTAACATTCCCTTTCTAGCCACCAAAACACATCACTTTCCAATTAGTAGCAATGAAAACACACATAACCCAACACATTTCAACTTCTGCATGCCATTATCTCATTGCAGAATGAAAAGCCAGGCGTGGCTCAAGTGGAAGATGCCAGCCAACACCATGGGGCCAATCCTCAGCACCAAAATAAAAAGAGAGACTGAAATTAAAAGAAAGAAATGGAACAGCACAAAAATAGAATCCATTATTCAAAATCTAAAATAAGGCATATTTTGCCTCATTTTTCATGGGTTATGCTTACATTTCATTACAATAACATTTCATTACAATATACCTTGTTTCATTCTGAAATATCTCTTATAGACATGTTAGAATCTTCTCTAAATTCAATTTGGACTAAAGATCAATACACTGCATTCCATAGGGAAAAGCTCCATCAACTCACTTCTCATGGAACTATAGATATAAGTCAGGCATGTTGGTGCATGCCTGTAATCCCAGCAATCCAGAGGCTGAGGCAAAAGAATCATGAGTTCAAGGCCATCCTAGGCTACATAGCCATAGAAAAAAACAAAGATGGCTTCTTGGGGCCTTTTGTCACAGCATTTATTCGTCATCTCAACTTCGCATTTACCTATGACTGAATAACACTTACCTCTTTATAACATTGATGTTCAGGTCAATCCCGCCAAACTTGGACAGGAATTCCATGTACGGCACAGATCCAGAGCTGGTCAGAGGGAGCTACATTCAAACAAGAGTAACAGGATGTTAAAGAATTAAGGTCCAGGGCTGGGAAGGTGGCTCAGTGGTAGAACGCTTGCCTTGCATGCATGAGGCCCTGGGTTCAATTCCTCAGCACCACATATGCAAAAAGAAAAAAAGCCGGAAATAGCGCTGTGGCTCAGGTGGTAGAGCGCTAGCCTTGAGCTGAAGAGCTGAGGGACAGCGCCCAGGCCCAGAGTTCAGGCCCCACGACTGGACCCAAAAAAAAAAAAAAAAAAAAAAACACAGATGAGCACACAAGCTCAGCTCCACGGTGTGCTGTGGGTTGGATTGCTGGCACACAGTTACACCACTTCTCTGGTATCTGAGATCAAAGGTAGCCTCAGAAAACCAAGCACCAGTGTCAGTCTGTAATCCTAGACGAAGCATCAGTGTGCCAGCAACAAAATTATCTAAACATCAAGTCTAAACCTAGCCAAACCTAAAATCTATCTAAAAGAAAAGAGGAAATCAATACAAATATATTCTAATACATATAAGTTAGGAGCTGAGGTATACTCCTAGTGCTATGTAATTTTCCTAAACATTCAAATAGCTTTGGGGTAGAAAAGGTCACTTTTAAATTGAAAAGTCTTGATGGAAAACCATGGCTCACACCTGTTAATCCCAGCTGCCTGGAAGGCTGAGGCTAGGAGGATGAGAGGGTAAGGCCAGCCTCACAGTTTTGACCCTCTCAGCTACAGCTGGGAGTGGTGGCTCAACCTTGCTATATGGAAGCTGAGTTTGGGAGGACTGAGGTTCCAGACCAGCAATGACAGAAAAGTCTGGGAGACTGTCTCACAGAAGAAGCTGGGTGTGGTAGCGTGTGCCTATTTATCTCAGCAATCAGTGCAAGTTGTTCTCCTTAGGAACAATATACTGAACTGTTTAAGAGTGAAGAACTAACTGGGAGCTGGGAGCCAGTGGCTCACACCTGTAATCTTACTGAGGAGGCTGAGATCTGAGCATCGTGGTTCAAAGCCAGCCCACACAAGAAAGTCTGTGAGACTCTTATCTCCAATCAACTACTCAGAAAAAGCTGGAAGTGGTGCTGTGGCTCAAGTGGTAGAGCACTAGCCTGGAGCACAAAGAGGCTCAGGGGTAGCACCCAGGCTCTGAATTCAAGTCCTGGGACTGGCCAAAAAAAAAGAAGTGGGGGTTGGAGGTGTGGCTCAGTTGGTAGAGCCCTAGTCAGTGAGAGAACGCATCAGATATCAAGTTCTAGTTCTGGACTTACTTGGAAAGAACTGTGAAATAAATCACTTCTTCCCAAATACTTTTAGAAAAAAAAGTATGTTGTATACATTAACTATGTTGACTTTGAACACACTCACATACAGACATGCACTCATACACACAATGTGAGATCCTAGGAGAAACTATTTAGAATATGGTCATAGCTCCTAAAGCTAAGCAAAAGCCACTTGAGTATTATTTGTGCTGCTTAAGTGCTAGTCATACCATTCTTTTTTTTTTTTTTTTTTTTGTCAGTCATGGGGCTTGAACTCTGGGCCTGGGCACTGTCCCTCAGCTCTTCAGCTCAAGGCTAGCACTCTACCACTTAAGCCATAGTGCCACTTTCGGCTTTTTCTGCTTATGTGGTGCTGAGGAATCAAACCCAGGGCCCCATGCACGCAAGGCAAGCACTCTACCACTGAGCCACCTTCCCAGCCCCAGTCATTCCATTCTTTTTGTTTTTTGTCGGTTGTGGGACCTGAACTCTGGGCCTGGGTACTGTCCCTCAGCAATTCAGCTCGAGGCTAGCACTCTACCACTTGAGCCACAGCACCGCTTCCTGTTTTTTCTGCTAATGTGGTGCTGAGGAATCGAACCCAGGGCCTCATGCATGCAAGGCAAGCACTCTACCACTGAACCACCTTCCCAGCCCTCATTCCATTCTTATGGCAAATTTTCTGGAATCAAAATAATTTCTAAATAAAATTTTAATTTTTAAACAAGGCACCACTGAATCACACCTGTAAATCTTTACTATTCAGGAGACTGAGATTGGATAATTGTAGTTCAATGCCAGAAAGGACACAAAAATCCATGAGACTCCATGTCCAAAACTAAGCAGCAAAAAGCTAGACTGGAGGCATATCTCATTGGTAGAACACCAATCAAACAAGCATGCTGAGCAAGTACTAGACCTGGAGTTCAAATCCTAGTACTGGCAAAAAAAATAAAAATAAAAAATAACACAAATATTCAGAGCATTAGAATTTAAATTTTAAAAGTCAATATACTTCATTATTAAGCTTATGTAGATCCACAGAGTCAGTCAAATTTGACACCCATAGAGTGGCCACAGTTGTGTGGTATCTGTCTCATAAATGAATTTCTCTTTTCTTTTTTTCTTTTTTTTTTGGGGGGTCCAGTCGTGGGGCCTGAACTCTGGGCCTGGGCGCTGTCCCTCAGCTCTTCAGCTCAAGGCTAGTGTTCCACCACTTGAGCCACAGCGCCACTTCCAGCTTTTTTCTTTTTGCTTATGTGGTGCTGCCTCAGGCATGCAAAGCAAGTGCTCTACCACTGAGCCACCTTCCCAGCCCGAATTTCTCTTTTCTATCTAAAGCCTGTGGGACGAGGAGCCTGGGGAAGGGGCCAGGGAAGAATGCCTGATTGTCCAGTTACCAACACATACATGTGCCATCAACTGCTCACGTTTCCCTAATATGACAGAAGACCAGAACAGATGAAATGTGGACTTGAAGTTCATGGTGGCTATAGGGGAGTAAAGAGAGAAACTCAGATGTGGCAGCCCTGAGCAAGGAGGAGGAGGAAGTGTCCCCTGGGGAAGGAGGAGCTGTCCCAAGGGAGGAGGAGGAGATGTGTCCTGGGGAAGGAGGAGGTGTCCCAAGGGAGAAAGAGGAGGTATCCCCTGGGGAAGGAGGTGTCCGCTGGGGGAGGAGGCATCTCCACACAGTTCACAATCTCCTGGCATGGTGCAGAGTCCACCAATGACACTATCGTCATGGCCTTGTCTAGAGAGGAAGACCATCACAGAGTGCAGCTCACCACATTTCAAATTAATTGTAATATAGTGATAAATCGTTGCCATGAGCACTCTTGCTAAAACTGAGTGCCCTGGAAAATTGAAGGGAAGGCTCTGTACAATATACCCCTTTCTAGGATTTATGAATCTGTGACATATGTTAAATGATCAAAACCATCCAAAGATAAACTGCGGGAGCAGAGCCTCAGCCAGGGTTTGGAGATGGGCAGAGGGAAGGGCTATGTCAGTCCCCATCAGCATCTTCCAAGAAGACACCGGGCCTGGCCTGGCACAGCACGGGGCCCAGAGCCCAGCTCAGCACGGGGCCCAGAGTCCAGCTCTGTTCTCCCTCTCTTGGACCAATCCAAGTTCTCGGCAAATGGTCTGCATTAATACTGAGACCGAGGGGCTCGGAAGGCGGCTCAGTGGTAGAGCGCTTGCCTTGCATGCCAGAGGCCCTGGGTTCTATTCCTCAGCACCACATAAGCAAAAAGAAAAAAGCCGGAAGTGGTGCTTTGGCTCAAGTGGTAGAGCGCTAGCCTTGACTGAAGAGCTGAGGGACAGCACCCAGGCCCAGAGTTCAGGCCCCACGACTGGACCCCCCCAAAAAAAATAATAATACTGAGACCGAGGCCATGTGGAAAGTAACAAGGTACAGGGCTGCTCCCAGACAGAAGCCAGCCATCCCTCTTGCCCTGGCCAGTTGGTACGATTCTACATGAATACATTCCTGCCATGGCTCTTGAAAGAAATCAGAGCTAACAGAAATTCAGCCCTAACTAGAAAATGCTTTGTCCACCTTCAAAGGTAAAGGGCCATGAAACCTTTTGGTCTCCACCTCCCAGGAAAAGGAGGTTGAGTCACCATGTGGGCTACTCAGAAAGACCTACAGAAGTGCAGCCCAGGCCAGAGCGTAGGGTCTGCCCTTCGCTCTTGTCGTCGACCTTGGCCATGACCTTGGTACCCACAGCACACTGGGACCTCATTACTGACTCCTAGGTTCCACCAGCTACAAGCTCTAGGGAAGCCAGTCTGTTGTTCAGGAGAGATTACAAGACCTGCTCTGAAAAAAAATGCCTTTGACATTCCAGGGATCTCAGTGGCTTCTTAAAAAATAAAAAAATATAAAAAACATATGTCACTTTTAAAACCAAATACACACTTCATATTTTCTGTACTTTCCCCCTTCCTGCATATCTGATTAGCTTGGGAAGATTGTCAAAATTGTAAATTACACATTAGAGCATGACTATAAGGGCACACAGCAGGAAATAATATTTTAACTCTCCATTTGGTACAAAGTGTCAGTTAAATCTAGCTTCAGAGGAAATGAACGCAATGCTTACAAGAAAGAGTGCTCTTTAAAAGTCAGAATGCTGCTGGGCGCCCAGTGGCTCACACCTGTGATCCTGGCCACTCAGGAGGCTGAGATCTGAAGAATGAAACTCAAAGCCAGCTGGGCAGGAAAACCTGTGAGACTCTTATCTCCAATTAATCACCAGAAAAGCTACAAGTAGAGCTGTGGCTCAAGTGTGGCTCAAGTGCCAGAGCTCTAACCTTGAACAAAAAAAATCTCAGGAACAGCACCTAGACCCTAAGTTGAAGCCTCAGGAATGGCACACACACACACACACACACACACACACACACACACACACAGAGTCAGAATGTTACCATGGGACACAGCAAGTCCCACAGGTGTGCAGCCAAGACAACTGCCAGCTGTGGTCACACAGAACCCTGGGCAGTAAGGGTCACAACAAAGGAATTCAAAGAAGTCCAAAGGTGTGAACAATTCAAAGGTCCACCCTCTAAAGAAAGGGGAAACAGAGAAAGAAGTGTGTTCATTCAGTGGACTACTATTTGGCCCTAAAAAAAAGAATGCAGTAGAGATATAGGCATGGAAAAAGCAGTTACCAAAGTATGACCCGTTCACTGGCTATGTACCACTGACCATGACAGAAAGCAGAAGCGCTGGCTCCAGGCAAGGGCAGAATCACTGTGATGGATACAGGGGATGGTGACACTGTCCTCCAATTAGACAATGCTGGTGACAATGGAGTTTTACACCCCAGGTGTTCCACAGAGCACATCCAGCCATTCACCCAAAATGCCAAATAGAGAGTCATGGCAAAGGGCAGACAAAGGAGATGCATTTTGTGGAACTGTGTTCAAGAAGATAGTGCTTCAGAATATCTCTGCTGTTCTCAGGGTGCTGGCATCTGTTTCAGGTTAAGTAGGGAGACTTGGGGGCAGGGGACACACAGTTTTAACCAGCCCAAGTCACCTGTGTGGCCTTTGTCCTGGGGGTTTTGGAGAGCCCCCTGCTAGAGGAGAGCAGGGATGAGTGGCCCGCGGCCGGCCTGAGCTTGCCTTTGCAGCTGCTGCACCTTGTGCCACAAGGTGATGAGCGGGTGGCACTGCCTGGGGGGGGGGGTGCCAAGCTGCTGTGTCACAAGATGATTCTAGGTAAATCCTGTCTTTCCTGCAGCTGACTGCAAAGTGACCACAGGAGGAAATGGCTCAGATCAGAGGACTCAGACATAAAGCAGAGAAGGGGCTGGGCACTCAGCCTTTTTATCCTGCTTTTAGTTAATTCATGGGCCTAGCAAAAACAGCTTTTAAGTTGCCTGTTGCTGTGACAGTTGCACAACTGTGAATAAATTAAAAACACTGATTCATACAGGTTAACAATACACTCTTGTAGTTATTGGTTTTGAAAAGAAGGTATTGTCGTACCCAGTATTTGTAATTAAGAGCAAATCACTTACTTAAAAAAGGCAGTCTGAATGAAAGTATGCTTTTTGTCTTTTATAATTCTTTTAAAGATTATTTGGCAAATTAAAAACAAGATTTATAACTTTAAAAAAGTGTATTTTGTGATATGTAAATTCTGTCTTACTAGTTGTTAAAAATATACATAGCCTTAAAAGGTGACATTAAAAAAAAATCAACATATTACCAGGTTCCACAGCTAATGTTTATAATCCTAGCTATTCAGGAGGCTAAGATCTGAGGATTGCAGTTCAAAGCCAGCCCAGGCAGGAAAGTCTGTGAGACTCATCTCCAGTGAACCACCAGAAAACTAGAAGTGGTGCCAGGGCTCAAAGTGGTAGAGCACTAGCTGGCCTTGAGCAAAATAGCCCAGGGGCAGCACCCAGGACCTGAATTCCATCAGCACATCCCACATGTCCCAGTTCCCATGAACACACCTGAGCCAGCACATCTTGGAACTGTTCTCTGGTGAGTGGCAACAGGAAAGTGGTGATGGCTCTTCTCAATTCATTCTTGCTCACGGTCTGGTTCTGACCCGTGTCGAGCAGCTGGAAGGCTTTTTTCAATTCATCCCTTTTATCAGAAATTTTCTGAAATAGAATCCGCTTAATATCCGAGGAGGACAGGATTGGATTTGCAATGGCTGTGGCTGTAAGAGAGATGGAGCTTGCTATTCAAACATAAAAAGAAGAATGGAACCAAGCAGGTTCTTCCACTATCTTTAGGTCTACAAGTTCAGTCATGGAAAAATCTACAGTCATTTTTTTCCCATTTGTACCAGTCTCAGGGCTTGAACTCTGGGCCTAGGAGCTATTCGTAGGAGCTTTTTCATCAAAGCTGGTGCTGTACCACTTGAAGCCACAGCTTCATGTTCAGCTTTTTGGTTGTTAACTGGAGAAGACAGTCTCATGAATTTTTCTGTGCTGGCTGGCTTTCAACCTCAATTTTGAGATCTCAGCCTCTTGAGTCGCTAGGATTACAGGCATGAGCCAATGGCTCCAGGTTTACTATCGTCATTTTTTACCTCTGAAATTTTGTCACTATGATTTAGGTGAGAAAAACAGGGGGAAAGGTATTCTTCTCCTAAAAGCACATAGGGCTAGGTGCTGGTGGCTTACATCTATAATCCTAGCTAATCTTAGGAAGCTGACACCTGAGACCCAGTTTGAAGTCAGCTCTGGCAGACAAATCTGGGACTCTTATCTCCAATGAACCAGCAAAAAGCCAGAAGTGAAGCTGTGTGTGGCTCAATTGGTAGAACACAAGCTTAAGTGAAAAAGCTAAGGGACAGCACCCAGGCCCTGAGTTCAAGCCTGAGTACTGGTGTGTGCATGCATACACACACACACACACACACACACACACACATACACACACACACAGCACATAGGATATTGTTAGAAAAATTAAGACTATGGGAAGAGAGAATTTAGTTGAGAAGTAGTAATCAAATCACTCTTTAAAGTATGGTGTCTACCTGGCCTTGACCATTTTTCAGGGAGAAGCATGTGATGCTTAACTCTAGATGATCCCTTACAAGTCAGAAGGACAAGTGAGCGGCAAGCCATGGAAAGGCTGAGTGTCTAAAAAAGTGCTCAGGTGACTGATATGCTGGGTGTTGGGGTCTGTGTCAGCAGTGAGAGGAAACAGACTATGGGTCTCCATCCTGGATAAAAATAATGGTGGGGCCAACAGGCAGGAACAAGTAAATGTAACCACAAACCACCTCGTGGCACCAATCGAAGGAGACAATGAACAGACCACATGATGGTCAGTGTGATATTCTATGACGGATGGGCAGGACAAGAGGCTGGCACTTCAGCAGCCCGGGCACCCCTGCCCCTCCGTGGGGTGATTTCAAAGGTTAGAGAGCAACCCTGTCCCACGCAGCAGGTCAGGGTGGTAGCTTTACCCCTGCCTCACCTATCCTGTTACCATGGCAGCCACCAGGGATGAGCAGCTCCAGTTTTCTCCTGGAAATGAGAATGTCTCATCAGCCTGAAGCAAGTGGAGATGTTTGCCTTGGGGGCCCTGAGCCAGACTAGGGCCTCAAAGAGCAGGACCGCATGATGCACCCCAAGGGCTGTTGGGGATCTTCACAACCAGGGGTACCTAAGCCATCTCTAGAGCCCGTGGAGGGGTCCCCACAGTCACTCTGGGGTAGAGGTCTGGGTGGTGTGCCTGCACCCCAGAGCTTTATTGGCTATGGTATGCAGTCAGTGTGTGTATGTGTGGGTGTGTATGCACATGTGCATGCATGCATGTGCACCAATATTGGGCCTAAGGAGGGAGGGGAATCCTCAGATATAGTGACTGTGAAGGAGGTAGATACATCCCTGGGGAACGATGGCCTAGGCACTGCCCACCTGTCAGACATGCAGTGCCTGTGACTGGTGCAGCCCACCATCTGGACAGCAAAAACAGACAGGAGTGGTCATCAGCCAGGAAGTCCTAAGATAATGGTGGACGGTGGCCAAGGCAGAGAGGAGGAAAGACAATGTGGCAGAGTGTGGTACAGGCGGTGCCCAGGGGCTCGCATGGGTGGCATGGAAAGCCTCCTCCAGGGGGCTTATGAGCTTGCCCAGCAAACCCGAAAGCTGAAGTAACAGTGTCCTAAACAGGGAGACCCCTGCAATGGTGAGGACGCTGGAGGCAGGAATGGGCTCAGGCCAGGATGGGCCTCGTGGTGTGTACCAGGGGAGAGGCAGAGCAGTAAGGGCCCTGCTGGTGAGGCCAGTGCACCTGGCCTGGGTGGGCTCTATGATCACAATGGCTGCTGAGTAGAAAATGGGTGACAGGGCAAGAACAGAGGGGAGAGGACTGGGGCAAGGAGCCATAGTGAGGACAGAAACAAGCAGAATGAAGATGAGATTTGTTTGTTCTGGAGCTAACAAGGTTTTACAAATGGCTGGTGGGGCTCCTGTGGTGGTGTGGGGGCAAAAGGGGGGGTGTTAGAATGGCCCATGAGGGAGAAAGATATATGTAGATGGGGTGCACATAGAAAGCAGCCAGCAGCCAGACACCTGGGATCTCCCATGTGGAACTCTTGTTCTAGTTACAGATGGCACCTGGGTCATAGAGCCAAGCAAGGACTATACAGGCACAAGGGAGAAGGAGCTGACCACCCCCCAAACACCCTACCAGACCTCAAAACTGCTCAGGAAGGGGACAGACTCCACATCTCCCTCTCCCCAGGAGCAGGTGTACCCCAAGAGCTGGTATTACCTCCTCTACCCCCCCCCAAGAGCTAGTATACCAGGCACCCTCCCCCTGGCCCCCGCCACCCAGGGTCACAGGTCTCTGGCTAATGGATGCCTCCATTGTGAGCTCCTTCCTCAGACTGCTCGTATTTTGTAGTTGTTCTCCAAGGAGCCTCCACTTTACAACTCAGAAGCTAATAAAAGGTAGCAGAAAATGTAGACTGGAAGCTATGTGAAGTCACTGGAAGGAAATATTTTTTACCACACGTGCCTCATGCAACCTCTGAGGCTGGAAATTAAGGGGGTACCACACCTGCAAACCCGCTGTGGGGAGCACGAACGGATGCCATGTTGCTGGGGTGAGCTGAGGGATTACTGTCCATCTGTGCAGGATGGAGAAATCCCACCGCTTTCACCTCAACACGGGGGCCAACAATATGCTCAGAGAAAACCCCACCGAGCTCCGAGGACTCACAGACCCGCTCCAGAAAGGACGAGCCAGTCCCCAAGATAGAAGGAGAGCTCATCTGCAGTAGTGGGAGAGCAAATGCGCTGGGTTTGCTGTTATTCATAGCCATTTGTGGAGTGGTGTGGGTTCCTGGCCCAGGACCCTCACAGCACTGGCCTGTGGCAAGGCAGCCATGCGTGTAATGCCAACAGAGAAGGGCGGGGCCAACCCCTCTGGAGCACCTAGGGCTTCACTGAATGAACACCAGGGGTCAGCCCCAGGCTCCAAGCACGGCAACAGGGTGGACAGGGTTCTCCTGATACTGAATGTCCAGTGCAGAGCCAGAGTCCCATGGAAGTGAGCTGAGAAACAGAGAGATGCTCTGCTCTAGCATCTCACACTGACAGAGGGGCTACAAACACAGAGAACTCAGATCTTAGGTCTCAGAGAAGAAAATGTGAAATCAGCACAACATAAATCTAAGGAAAATGCCACCAGGTCCGGACGGCTCACATCAGTGGCAACGTCAGTTCACCCACTCATGAAAGGCCTGAGAGGAGGAGGGGTCCTCTCTAGGCACAAATACTATTTACTTCTCCCTCTACTCTCCTATACAGATGTCTGGTATTACTTTTTTTAATGGCAAGGCAAGCACAAAGGAAAAGATGACCTAAACAGTTATCAGAAGAACACCCACAGGAAAACCAATACAAAAACATGGGCAAACTATGACCAAGAAACATGTTCAACTCAGTAACAGAGACAGTAACAGAGGACGTGATGACACCAGGGGACCTCAGCAGAGACAGAAACTTGTTAAAATGATGAGGAAGCCAGAACTGGAAACAGTGATGAGGGCAGAGCTCCTGTGTTTAAAGTAATGAGACTCAAATACATATTTATTTATATGTAATCAATAAAAGGAAAAAAAAACCCCTTCACTGCATTTAAAAATTACCCCTGCAGCCTAGCTATATGAATAGCTAAGACTTGAAGTACAAAACCAGCTCAAGCAGAAAAGGATATGATACTCTTAACTCCAAATAATCAGCAAAAAGTGAGAAGTGGAGCTGTGTCCCAAGTGGTAGAGTACCAGCTTTGAGCAAAAAGTGAAGCAAGAGAATACAAGGCCCTGACTGAATGAAGATCTCAAAAAAAAAAACAAAAAACCAGTATGTGCGTTGGGCTGGGAAGGTGGCTCAGTGGTAGAGGGCTTGCCTCGCATGCATGAGGCCCTCGGTTCAGCACCATATAAACAGAAAAGGCTGGAAGTGACACTGTGGCTCAAGTGGTGCTAGCCTTGAGCTCAAGAGCTGAGGGACAGCACCCAGGTCCAGCGCTCAAGCCCTATGACCAACAAAATATATATTTTAATATATATTATATATACAACATATTATATTATAATATGTGGGTATTTATGGAAAAGTGCCCTTCACTGGTTGAATGGATAAATTGTGGCAATAAAATTTTCTATCACTCAGCAAGAAAAAACAAAAATAAGTGAAGAAGTTGAACACTGATGGCTCACCCCTATAATCCTAGCTACTCAGGAGGTTGAGATCTGAGGATCATGGTTTGAAGCCTGCCCAGGAAGGAAAGTCTGGGAGATTCTTATCTCAATTATCTGACAAAAAGCTGGAAGTGGTAGAGTGCTAACAAAAGCTCTTGAACAAAAGAGCTCAGGGATAGCAGCCCAAGCCCTGAGTTCAAACCTCAGAACCAGCATAAAAATAAATAAGAAATAAAAATAAATAAAGATAAGGTAACAGAGGTGAATGTGATCAGAAGTACATTATATATATATATATATATATATATATATATATATATTTATATATAATATGTTTTAAATGCCAAAATGCACAATAAATCAGTGAGGATAACACAAAGAAAAGGTTGTCTTTTCAATAAATAACATTGGAACAAGTGGCCATCCACATGTAAAACAAAGTGAATCTAGACACAGACCTTACACCCTTCACTAAATTACCTCCAACCTAATCCTAAAACTCAAACCTGAAAAACCTCTCGATGAATCAGGAGTAACAGCAGTATGGGAATTTTCTATTCTTCCTGCTCAAATTTTCTACAAACTTAAAGACTACTAAAAAAAACATTACTTTAAAAACAACAACAACAACAAAGAACCAGTATACTATATAACATAGCAGTTAATTAAGTACCTAGATTGCAAATTCACTGTCCCGGATCAGATCCTGCCCTACCCACTCAAAAACCACACACAAGTGGGCTGATCAGTCCACAGCTGCTTCCCACACAGCACACACGAACACGAATGGACCATGTGACCCTCCATCCTGAGCCAGGCACATGTTAAGCTGGGGAGGCAGTCTTCTGCCAGAGTTTTATTTTTATTTGCTTGCAAATACTCACTTGAAGTAGAGGAAGAAGGTCTGAACATGTTCTGAAAGCTATTTTTCAAGGGAACTTTACACGGTGAAGAGTGTGGCCTTGGGTAGTTGGACTTCCGTGTCTGAGGGTACAGAGCTTGCCAGTCTGGTAGAACTGCCATCTTATTCATTAAGTCCCTGTGATGAGAGAACAGATCCATTATCCTCAAACAGACACTGTTAGCACCCAGCTTCCTATCCCTTTCTGAAATGACAGAGGGCCATGTAAAAATGTTGCCTGCCCAGCTTTCAATCACTTTCAGATATGTGCAACATCATGATTCTGGGTTCTTCTCAGCATATCCCACAAACTTCACAAATGGCATGGTAATGCCTACCTGTATTCTCAGCCAACTCAGGCCACACAGTGAGACTCTGACCCAGGAAAACAACAGAATGACTAACGAGTGTGGTCCATGTGGTAGAGCACATGCCTAGCAAGCTCAAGGCCCTGAATTCAATTCCCAGCACTGCAAAATTGAAGAGAGTAAGATAGGTATAGAATAGAATGGAACGGAAGTATAGAACAAAGCAGAACAGAATAGAATTAAAACCTCAACTTAATAACTAAGCTTCCAGGAAAGCACAACTAAACCCAACGAACATGATAAAGAAACTAACGAAGACTAGAGAAGACAACAATAATCAACGAAGAATTAGTTATTTGAAAATAGCAATAGAATTGATGGTTGTTTTTTTTTAATCTAGACTGCCATCCCCAAAAGGTAAGAATGAGAAAACATTCAAATTATTAAAATCAGGGATGATCGTGGTCATTATCACTGCCCTTCCAGAAGTAAAAAGAATTATAAGGCTATCGTACACTAACAAACTAGGTAATCCAGATGGAATGGGAAAACCCTTAGAACAATACAGGTAACTGAAGGTTACTGAAATTGATGAAGATAAACAAGAAGAGGTAGACAGAGCTATAACAAAAGAAGTTTAGGATCAGATAGTTTCCCTAGTGAATTCTACCACACATTTAAAGAATCACCTAGGGGATGCAGCTCAGTGGTAGAACATTTCCCTAGCATGCACAAGTCCTGAGTTTGATCTCAAAATTATAGTAAGAAAGAAAAAAATATGATTACAGAAGAAATAAATGAAGGTAAAGAATAATTAAAAGGGCTGGGAAGGTGGCTCAGTGGTAGAGTGCTTGCCTTGCATGCATGAGGCCCTGGGTTTGATTCCTCAGCACCACATAAGCAGGAAAAAAAAAAGCCAGAAGTGGCGCTGTGGTTCAAGTGGTAGAGTGTTAGCCTTGAGCTGAAGAGCTCAGGGACAGCGCCCAGCCCCACGCCGGACCAAAAAAAAAGAATAATTAAAAACAGTCCATCACATGGGGATGTGGGGGAGACATCAATATGTATTCCAACTATCTTACCCTCTTTTCAGAGGGGGGGGGGAAGGAGAGAGAGAGAGAGAGAGAGTTTGTTTTTGTTTTTAGTGGTCCTGAGCCTTGCACTCTACCCTTCCACTTGGACTATGGACCACTTACAGCTTTTCCTGTGATTAAGTGGAGAAAAGAGTCTCACAAACACTTTATCATTGAGAATGGTATGCTCTATGGATTTTTCCTCAATGTTCTTTATTAGTTCAAGGAAGTTCCCTTATATTCCTAGTTTCTTGAGTATTTTTTACTTTTTCTTTCTTTCAGTAGGTATAGGATTTTCTGATATGCTTTTTTTCTGCATTTATTACAAACTCTTCCAAAAACATTGCTGAGGGAGAGGGCGGGGAGGGAAGAGCCTGGTGGCAGAGTGCTTGCCTACTGAGTGACAGACCCTGGAATCTCCCCCCACCAAAAAAAAAAAAAACAGAGGAGAGGGAGCATTCTCCAATAGGCTCCATGAGACCAGGATTATGCCGATATTAAACCCAGTCAATGCCATCAAGACCAGACACTAATATCCCTTATAAATAGAGAAAAACTTCCCAACAAAATATTCACAAACTGAATCTAATAATACATAAAATAATTAGATGACAGGTAATTAGATTGGATATATCATAGAAATCAAAAGGGTGAAACATGCAAAAAAATCACTTGATACTATATACCATATTAACAGAATTAAGGAAAAAAAAACATTCATCTTAATAAATGCAGAAAAAAAAGCATATCAGAACTAAAAACTACAAAATTCATAGAAGAAAACCCAAAGTCATAACCAAAGTCATTTGGGTTAGATATTGATATATTAGATAAAACACCAAAACACAGGCAACTAAAGAAATAGATTAATTTGATTTCATCAAATGTGGGGTAGGAGAAACTATCCAGAAAGGGAAAACGATAGTCCACAAAACAGAGGCAAATATTTACTGGTCATGTATCTGATAAGGATCTTGTATACAGGAATAGTAAGAGCTAGGCATATGGTATACCACTGTAATCCCAGCCTAGATTATGCCGTGAGACCTTGCTGCCCCAAACAAAACAAAACAATAACAAAAAAAAAAGAAAGGTCCCACCACCAACAATATAGTGTTCCTACAATTTACTAATTAAAAAGATAAATAGCCCAATATTTTTTCCTTTTTTTTTTCTTTTGTCAGTTGTGGGGCTTGAACTCTGGGTCTGAGCACTGTCCCTCAGCTCTTCAGCTCAAGGCTAGTGTTCTACCACTTGAACCACAGCACCACTTCAGGTTTTCTGATGGTTAATTGGAGATAAGAGTCTCACAGACTTTCCTGCCCAGGCTGGCTTTGAACCATAATCCTCAGATCTCAGCCTCCTGAGTAGCTAGGATTATAAGCATGAGCCACCGGCACCAGGCAAACAACCCAATATACAAATAGTAAGTACAGAAAAGGATGTTCAATATAACTAGTCTTTAGAGAGATGCAAATACAATTGTCCAAAAACAATATATTTTTTTCTAGTTCTGGAGCTTGAACTCAGGGCCTGTGCATTGTCCCAAGCTTGTTTTGCTCAAGGCTAGCACTTTACCACTTGAGCCACAGTGCCACTTCTGGCTTTTTCTGTTTATATGGTTCTGAGGAATCAAACCTAGGGCTTCATGCACATTAGGCAGACACTATACCACTAAGCCACATTCCCAGTCCAAGAAATGTATTCTTTTCCTGACTTATGTAACTGTAAACCCCTCTGTATATCACCTTTATAATAACAAAGATTTTTTTAATGAAAATCTAAATCACTGGGATGGTGATAATTAAACAAGCAAAAGAGTAACAGGTAGAATACCCAAGTTTAAAAAGGAGAAGAAGGGGGAGGGGGAGAGGAAGGGATGGGAAGGGGAAACAAAGGAGGAGGCACAATGCTTGATAAGAAATGTACTCATTATCTTGCCCATGTAACTATAACCCCTCTGTATGGTATTTTCATAATAAAAAATAAGTAAATAAATAAAAAGGAAAAGAAGCAAAAGGAGAGGAGGGGGAGAAGGAGGAAGAGGAAAAGGAGTAGGAGAAGGAAAAATGGAAGAAGAAAAAGGAGGAGGAAGAGGAGAAGAAGAAACGAGTAAGAATTATTAGAAAGCACAGGGACACTGGAACCCTCCACCATTACTGGTGGGAATGACAAGTGACAAAGCTGTTTTGGAATACCACTTGGTTGTTCCTCAAAAGGGGATGCAGAAAGTTAGCATATGGCCATGCAAGTTCAGTCCTGGGTATATGCGTACGAATCAAAAACACATGCACGCAGAAAACTACACATGAATGTCATCACTTCGTGACAGCCAAGAAGTTCCATCAAGTGATGAAAGTGATGCATCCATTCATCGGACTGTTCTCTAGCCATAAAAAGGGATGCAGTGAGCCAGAAGCCAGTGAGCCATGCTTGTAATCCTAGCTACCCAGGAGATTAAGATCAGGAGAATTGCAGTTTGAGGACAGCCTGGGCAGAAAAGTTCAAGAGACTCTATCTCCAAAAATAGCCAGCAAAAAGTTGGGCTAGAGGCACGATTCAAATAGGTTCAAATAGTACCAGCCAGAGCTTGAGGCTCTGAGTACAAACTCCACTTGGCGGGGGGAATGGGGGGTGGGGAGGCAGGAAAGGAATGAAGTACTGACTCATGCTACATGATGGCAAACTTGGGTTTGCTATAGCAAACCCCAAAATTCCATACTATATCATTCCAAATCAATGGCAGCAGTCGCAAGAGCTGTGGCAAGGGGTAATGGAACTGCTAATAGGTAAGAGCATTCTGGAATTGGAATTCACAGCTTTACGGATATATGAAAAGCATGGAGGTACTCTACCAACAGCAAGACCGGCAAACTGTCACAGGCGTTTGTGGTTTCTAACTCTTAGGCTCTGTCAATCTGCGGCAGACAGGAGGTTGGCTTCTCAGTGTTCCAGAAAGAAATGAGTATCACTCCTTTTTGAATGCTCAAAGTGGAAAAGCAGAAAGCGGCCCTGTGCTTTGACTCCAGTGAGTTTCAGCAGCTTCTGCTGGGTAAGGAAGCTTTACAGTGAAACTGTCAAAGGTGCTCCACTTGGCCAAATTATTCAGGAAAAAAAATCCCTGTGGGTCTCACATATTAACTGTGAGCACATAACTTCTGAATATTCAAAAACAGGTGGCTGTGCGTGGCACTGCATGAGAACACAGAATCAGAGAAGACGCGGCTTGACAGGCCTCAGTCGGAAGCATCTAGAAGTTCCAGGGTTGAAGAAATGCATGAGTATCTGTAGGAGAGCCGCGTGGACTAGTCCCTCTCCTCCACCTCTCTCCAGGGGGCAGTGTCAGTCCTGCATTTGACGTGGATGCCTACCATATTTGCCATGGGCAGCTGGCAGGACCCTGGAGATGAATACTACACCACAGGGCAACTGGTCTGTTTTCTGATCCATCACAAAATTCATGTGGCGGGGTGCTTGATAAAGGAAAGGAGTTTATCCAGCCTGAGTCTTAGAGGCCTCACTACTCAGGTCTGGGGGGACCCCGATGGCTCACACAGCAGGGACAGCATGGTGGAGACATGATGGGGTGGGGGCAGGGTAGGATTCACAACCCAAGCCCACTTTATGGTAATAACTGTTCTCTAGGAAAATCCAAGGTCTCTCCCCCCTCTCCCAGCCACATTAATCTCTTCTGATAACAGTACCTCAATTATTTTGCACAAAGCCCCACTCCTTAAAGGTCTCACCACCTTT